CATTGTGTATCATTTTGCATACTACCCCGGAACTACGTTGGTTTGATTCCTTGCAAAAGGATACGTAGGCAACCCTCAGGTTCAACCAACTGCATCTGCATTTTGTTTGTTTGCCCAAGTCTTACGGCCTTGTCAAAATGGGTCGTCTTCGGGCTTTAACGTTCACTCATGTCATTTCATGACTCCAAGTTCTATCAAAAAGGGGCAACTGTAGACACCCCATTTTTGAAGGCCTTTACGACTTGGACGTCATCGCTAGCACACCCGATGATGAATCTATATGTTTGTCAAGTGCTCGAAGTCCTCAATGGAATGCCACAGCTTTGAGCCTTTCAAACCTTACACCCCTGTTGCCTTTTTTTTGGACCAAACCCAGAGATCTTCAAGCCTACAACCTCTGGTGGCCTGCCATCCACCTTTATTGGCTGCCAGCCATCACTCTTGGTTGCCAGCCACTGATGTGGCCTGCTGGCCACCAATGTCTTTTATAGATATTTTGTGATAGCAGTGCCAGCTATTTGCACAGATGTTCGCATCTGTTCCCATGTGTATGGTTGGATGTTCTTGAGAGAAATTCATGTTTTCTATATACAGAGGGCCTCCCTCTCATGTTTTAAGGTTAGAAAAATTTTTGAGTAAAATTTTTCCTCTCTCTTGTGCAAATTTCAACACTCTTGCCTACATATCCTTAATCTTTGCCTATACCCTCTTAACCAAACCTCTCCATATTTAAGCTGAGGTGTCTTTGAGCTGTCTCTCTGTCTCTATCTCTCTCTCTTCTCTTTATCTCTTTCACTCATCACTCTTCTTTCTCTGTCTGTCTGTTTCTCTCTCTCATTTTCTCTCTATGTCTCTCGCCTATCTCTCTTCTCTCTATCTCTCTTATCTATTTTCTCTCTCTGTCTCTCTCGCTCATCTCTCTTATCTCTCTCTCTCTCTCATTTCTTATCTTTCTATCTCTCTCGCTCATTTCGCTTCTCTTTATGTCTCTCTCTTTTTCTGTATCTCTCTCTCGCTCATCTCTTTTCGCTCTATTTCTCTCTCTTTTTGTCTATCTCTCGCTCATCTCTTGTTTTTCTCTCTTTTTCTATCTCTCCATCTATCTATCTCTCTCTCTATCTCTTTTTCTATCTATCTCTCTCTCCCTGTCTTTCTCTCATTCATCACCCTTCTCTCTATATCTCTCTCTCTCTCTCTGTCTACTTGTCTATTTGTCTATTTCCCCCTCACTATGCTCGCATTGTTCACTCTCTTACTCTCATCTTCTCTATTTATCAAGCTCCTTCTCGATTTATCAATCCACTATAAGAAAATACACTTTTAGTAACCACTTTGTCTATCTCTCTCTTTCGCTCATCACTCTGTCTCTTTCTCTGTCTCTCTATCTCTTTTCTCTATTCGTCTCTCACTCGTCTCTCTTTCTCTCACTACCCATCTTTTCTACCACATTTACCACTACTGCAAATGCCATTCAACTACCACCACTCTTCTCGTTCTCTCTCACTCATCTCTCTTTTTCTCTCTCTCCGTCTCTCTCACTCATCTCTCTTCTCTCTCTCTCTCTATTTTTCTATTCTCTCTCTCGTTCATCTCTTTTCGCCCTCTTTCTATATGTCTCTCTCATCTCTTGTTTCTCTCTATTTTCGATATGTCTCTCTCTATCTCTTTCTCTCTTTATCTCTCTCTCACTTATCACTCTTCTCTCTCTCTTTCTCTCTCTGTGTCTGTTTGTCTGTCTCTCAGTCTTCTCTCTCTCTCTATGTGTCTGTTTGTCTATTTGTCTCTCTCTCCCATTGTGTTCATATTGCTCACTCTCTCCCTCATCTCTTCTCTATTTACCGAGCTCTCCACTACAAGAAAATGCACTTTTAGCGACCACTTTGTCTTTCTCTCGCTCATCACTCTGTCTTTGTCTCTCTCTCTCTCTCTCTATCTCTCTGTCTCTCTCGTTTTTCTTTATTCTCTCTCTCTCTTTTTTTTCTATGCCTCTCTCTCATTAATCTCTTTTCGCTTTCTTTCTCTCTCTTTTTGTTTATCTCTTGTTCATCTCTTGTTTCTCTCCACTACTGTAAATGTCATTCCACTACTACCACTACTACCAATGTTGTACTCCACCTCTATAACTATCATTACTACCACCATCGCTACCACTCCACTACCACCATTACTACTGCCATTACCTCTCTTCCACCACCGCTACTCTATCTCCTCTACCACTACCACAACTTCACCATTTATCTCCTTCACCATCACTACCACCGCCACTATCACCTCTTATCCACCACCTTCACCACTATTGCCACTTCTTATCCTCTACCACAAAAAATTAGTTCTTGATTTTTAATAACAAAAAAAAAAGGGCACAAAAAAATATTTTTCATTGATCACAAAAAATTAACTTTATTTTAATAGAAAATATTATCCCTACTTCTACCAAATAAAAAAAAATATTTTTTTATTCATTAAAATAAATATGAAACAAATAAATTTTCAACCTTACTAAATAAAAAAAAAATTCATTAACTATAAAAAAAATTATTTTAATAAAAAATAATTTTTTTAGCAACAGCATCCTCCGTTACGAAAAAAAAAAATTTGTTTTATTATTTAAATATTCATTTATAATGAAAATCAAAAAAAAAATCCAAAAAATTTCCATTCCCTCCCCTCTTTTCCATTCCCGCTCGGGTTGCCCCACCCCCAAACCCAAAATCCCCAATCTCAAAAATCCCTAATCCCCCCCTCCCTTTTCCATTCCCGCTCGAGTTTCCTCCCACCCCAAACCCAAACCCACGGTCGAGGAGGAAGAGGAAGAGCAGGAGTTCTAGGCGTAGAAGTAGGAAATCGGAATCAGTCGGTGATAGTGAATCGGATGAGTTGAGTGACCAATGCCATTGCCTAGGGCTGAAGAACATATTAGCTATGGAGGGGCACTCAGGCCTGGTGAAGGTGATGCCATTGCTCAGTATGTTCAACAAGGAAAGCGTATCCCACAGAGAGGTGAAGTTGGTCTTTCAGCTGAGGAGATTCAGAAATTTGAGAGCCTTGGGTATGTGATGAGTGGTAGTAGGCATATTTGGTATATATGGTAGATCTATCAATTTCGTATATATGTGAGAAAATCGAAGACGAAATCGATGTATTTGGTATATCTATAACAGAGATCTTTAGCTTAAATATGGTAGATCTATCAATTTCGTTTTCCCAACACACACACACACACACACATACATATATATATATATATATACATACATATATATATACATAAGAGCTTATTGAATGACATTAATAGGAAAGCGAATGGGTCACTTTACTTGGCGGAGGTAGAGGAAAGGAAAGACATCAAGCTTAAAGTTGAAGGCGGTTCCGTAAATTTTGATTTGAATACTAGAGGGAGCTATGATTTCATTGGCACAAGTAGATCTGAAATGGAAGCCAAGACACTTGCATATAGGAGTTAGAATTGAAAATATGGTATTTTACATTTTCTTCTATTGATATATATTTCACTTTCAGTAGGTAAATATATTTGTTGTCATTACTAGTCCAGATACATGAATGCTATTATTCTGAGTCTTGTTGCCATGATAACTCATCAGCCGATACCTATGTATTGGTGGTGTTGATAAGTTTTGTTGGGTCTCTGTATATTAAAGTATGTTGCGTCAACACGTTGAACTATGGAGCCTATGGGTGAGGACTGAAGGTCAAACAACTCATATCATATGGGATGATTAACGACATGTTTTTGAACATTGTTAGTGATTCTTTGATTTTTTTTTGATAGTACTGCAAATTATTTCCAAACTTCCTTTTTCATTATTATTTTTAATATATATATATATATATATATTCTTGTGAATTACGGTTGATAAGTTGATATATATATTCAGCAGTCTGAATTATGAGTTCTGGGCCATAATTTGATCAATTCCATGTATCAGATTGCTTATTCTCTAAATTACTCATCACTGTCAATCGAATCAGTCTTATTTAACCTTTTCTTACTCGTTCTTTAAAAAGGAATGCATTTGGTTCTGATAAATTGATTCTGTAGATTTCTCTAGGGTTCCAATTGTTGATGGCTACTCATTTGCTCATCTCACAAAATGGATGAATGTTGCTGGCAGGCATATAACTTCTTATCTCGTTGATTTGCTTCAACGTAGAGGGTAAGGGTCAACATCAGTTATTCTCAATATATATGTAGTGTATTATATTTGAAAGATGCCAAAATGGGCATAACCTTTCACAGAAAAATTACTTGTACTTTGATTAGAATACCAAACTTTCATTTCTGAAGGTATGCGATGAATAGGACTGCTGACTTTGAGACTGTTAGGGATGTCAAAGAGAACCTTTGCTATTTAAGGTGAAGAAATAACATTATAGTTTGGTATGCTTTTGGGATTTGTTTCATTACAATTTATTAGATTTGTTTTCCTGCTGTTATGATTGCAAAAGGGAATATCAATTGGGACTCGAGACTACCATCCTTGTTAAAAATTATACTGTAAGTTTATTCTCTTATCTATTTGTGTAATTATATAGAATCTTCTAGGAATTGTTCAAGTTACTTTCCTTTTGGGCATGTTGTGACTGTGATTGTGACATACAAAATATCCCAAGCTGGGAGGTTTAAAGCAATTAATAGCAATGGTTGTGTTTTTAAAATTATCTCATAGTAGTTTAATATATGGTGCCTTCATGCGGAATATTTTAGAAGTAGTTGAAAATATGTACTTATGCGTACTTACTATTTAGCTTGTGGATTTTTGTCTCATATTTCTCTTTGGTCAATTCAGTCTGGTATGCCTTGTCCATGATCTGTCGGTTATCCTCAGTTCTCTCAAGCATTCATTTCTTCATGGGACGTGGATGATATTTTTAGAGAGCATATGTTTAACTAATTGTTTTAAAAAACAAGCATACCGATGCAGTCATGTGGCTAATTTGAAATCCTCCTCTAATTCATGAGTAAAAATTTGTGATCTACAGGTGGACATTGCCTATGCTCCGTTCATTGAAAGGTTTCAAATCTTCTTTGAAGATGCCTTGAAGTATGACATCACATCAGGAAGACCAAAACTAGCAGCATGGATTGAAGTGAGTTAATGAACTCAACTCATTCTTGTATATATCTTGAATGATGGTATCTCTTATTATCGGATCTATGTGCAGGAGTTGAACAAGATTGACGCTTATCCATAGACAAAATGTGAACCCAAAGTGCTTGTTGAATTCTACAAGAAACGTTTTCTGGTAATCCCCTCATGCCTTTAAATTAAAATTCAATGGCACTCGGATATGCTTTGATAGTGAAAAAAAAAATTTTAAAAAATCAAATAAAACTGCTAACACTTCAATATATATATCTTCACTTGCAGGCTCAGCAGTGAACATGCAGCAGCTGTTCATAACTCAAATAAGTGGCTTGATGCCCTATAATCAATATCTCTAATCTAAAACTCAAATGTATCCGCACGGGGATGTGGATTTATGTTTTGTTTTTGTTTTTGTGTTTTTTTGTTTTTGTGTTTTGAGGTCAGGGTATGTGGAATTGCTAATAAGATCAAGAGTTGTCTATGTTGTAATGTGTTAATGTGTATTACATCATGCTCTTCGTTTTGGTTTGTTTTTTACATGATCAGAATTTAGACCATATTTTCAGTTTCAAGGATGTCCAAATGCTACTTTTCAGTTTCAGATTTTCTTTGACCATGCAACTTATACAGTTAAAAACAAAATTTCATACTTCATTTGCAATTTCTCACGCTTCCTTTATGAGAGACTAAGTCTGTGTCTGATTCATTAATTTGGAGAGGGATTGGAAAAGGAAAATCTTGTCAAATTTATGAATCAAACAGTCTAAAAATTAAAATAATAAAATCTGATGTCATATTTCATTTTTAATTTCTTACACTGTTTTTGTGTGCAACTAATAATAGACAAAAAAATAATAATAATAACCAAAACAAAAAGCAAAAACACCAACAAAGAAAAAAAAAAAACAGCAACAAAATTTTATTATTTACCAAATTTTATTATTTTTATTGATTTTGTTATAGGATTTATTTTTTGTGACGGCACTAAACTGTCGCAAAAAATAAAATTTTATTATTTTTTAATACTTTTTGCGACAGCAGCACATTGTCGCAAAAAATAGAGATTTTCATATTGTTAGTACTTTTTGCGACGGTACCATACCGTCGCAAAAACAGTGTTCTTGCCATTGCAAAAAAAAAGACTATTAGCGACGGCATTTTTTGCCGTCTCAAATAACATTTTTAGCGACGGTAAAATAGTGCCGTCGCAAAAAGTTAAGAAATTTCAAACATTATTAGCTACTACAAAGTGCCATCGCAAAAACATTAGCGACGGACTGTGCCGTCGCAAAAACTCTTTTGCAACCCCCCCAATTGCAACCCTCTCTTGCCGTCGCAAAAAATCATTTTGCCGTCGCGAAAAGTTTTTGTGACGGGATTAAGAGTATTAGCGACGGTATTTTACCGTCGCAAAAAGTTGAAATTTTTGTAGTGGATTTATTTTTTGTGACGGCACTAAACTGTCGCAAAAAATAAAATTTTATTATTTTTTAATACTTTTTGCGACAGCAGCACATTGTCGCAAAAAATAGAGATTTTCATATTGTTAGTACTTTTTGCGACGGTACCATACCGTCGCAAAAACAGTGTTCTTGCCACTGCAAAAAAAAGACTATTAGCGACGGCATTTTTTGCCGTCTCAAATAACATTTTTAGCGACGGTAAAATAGTGCCGTCGCAAAAAGTCAAGAAATTTCAAACATTATTAGCGACTACAAAGTGCCGTCGCAAAAGGTAAAAATGCCGTCGCAAAAACATTAGCGACGGACTGTGCCGTCGCAAAAACTCTTTTGCAACCCCCCCAATTGCGACCCTCTCTTGCCGTCGCAAAAAATCATTTTGCCGTCGCAAAAAGTTTTTGCGACGGCATTAGGAGTATTAGCGACGGTATTTTACCGTCGCAAAAAGTTGAAATTTTTGTAGTGATTGTTTATGCACATTGTACTTATATCTTTGTTAAATCTCATATACTGCATTAGATTATTTCTACTGGGCTTTGGCTCACCCTATTTGGGGAAAACCATTTTCAGGTGCTGGTGACATGCCTCCATTAGGGCAATAGCTTGGAGGGACTTTTGAGAGTAAGAGCTTCTTTATTTTGTTATATTCTTTGTATAGCCAAGGGCTTAAATTGTATTGAGCTAGGCTCACTTTTGGCGTAACCAAGCAATGACTTGAAAGGATGTAAGCCTATAAGGCATATGACTATATGTTTAGCTTTTAATTCCCTTAACATTGCAACACATGTTGTACATTCAGGATGAACATTTGTGAATGTATAATGTATGTGCTAACTTTGTAAACGAATTCTGATGAATAAAAGCATATCATTTATGTTATTCTTCTGCTTCAAGGGTTTGATTTACTGTAATAATTTTGGGGCGTTACAGGTTATGTGAATTATAATTTTAAGAGAGACTAATGTAATTATATCAAATTTATAGAACTTATTTCATTTTTTAAAATTTAAGGGAAATCAGTGTAATTTAACCTAAGTTTTCCCTAAGTATAATGGAAAAAATTGTGGAAGGTGCCTTTGAATAAGTAAAACATTAATAAAGTGGTAATTTGCGCGTAGAGTGGTTATATTTATATGTAAAAATAATGGGAGCTGTTAAGATGTGCACCTCAATAAGATGTGCACATGATATATACATTTATTTTAAACCATTAGATTTTTACAAATTAATCTCAGCCACTGAATAATTTGATTAAGAATATTGACAACCCCTTCAACCGGTTACCTTTTTTCAAATTTGTTCAGTTTTTTTTCCAAAGCCCCTGTTTTTGAGACAGCACGGAGACACTCTCCTCTTCTTCGCCCTCGAAGACCATCCTCGAAGATCATCCCTGCGAGCAAGACCTACCCTCGACTTCGCCTGAAGGTATCTCTCTCTCTCTCTCTCTCTCTCTCTCTCTGCAACTTATTGTTGCTGATCGTATATTTGTGATGCTTCATCCAGGACAATCAGGCGATGGACGGACTTCACTAAATGATCGTTTTGGTTACTGAAATCTCGGCATCAGAGGAAGGAATTCCTGTAAGGGAGAGTTATATGCTGCTTAGTTGTTTTACTTGGTTACTGTGTATAAAAATGAGTTTTTTGGTGTATCGGCTTTTATGCCAATTATCACTTATCAGAGTTATTAGGCTGTGAACTTTGGTGTTTAGAACTATTGTTCGTTGAGTGTATATATTTCACAATTTTTCTTCAGCCCATTGTGTTGATCATGATGGCCGACGAAAATTATGTTTTGTGCTGTGTTTTTAGCTTTTCTGCGGAGCTAAATTGTCATTGCATTTACATTTAGAGCTCTGCCCACTGCTTTTTATTCTGATCAAATGATTTTTTGAATTAAGCTTGAACATTTGATACTTAGAGCTCCACACTTAATAAAAATTTATTCTGATCAAATGAGTTTTAGAATTAAGCTTGAAGATTTTATACCTAGAGCTCCACCAAACAAAAATTTTATTCTGATCAAAAGATTTTTAGAATTAAGCTTGGACATTTTATACCTAGAGCTCTACTGAATAAAAATTTCTGCTTATGTCTGGCTAACATATTCTTGGTAGAGTTGTTTAAATTGGTTTCCTCATCAATCTGATTTAGCTCCTGGTTGGCTAGTAACTTAAGCTGACTAAGTGCCCCAAAAGATGTATAGACCTGTAGAGTGGAAGGGGTTGAAAAGATTGTGTATGCTCTTGATTTCATGGCAGTTTAAATGAGAAAAAAAAATCTAAAAACATAATACTAATACATAATGTTGCTGGCAACAATTGCATTACCGAAACTATTAATTTCAATTAACATAATACTAACACAAATTTACATGACAGGAGAAGCATATAATATTACAATTAGTGAGCCATATGGACCATACTTCACTCAAAAACCCCTCATGAGGCTATAAATTGTAATTCATCTGTGTATGCAAGGTCAGCTATCCTGAATGGGTTCCGCAACTTTCAGAATTTCTCCTGTCAACCCGATTCTGCAGATCTGTATCCATTGGAAAGCTTAATATCCTTCATGTTCGAAGACATGATTTGCTGAGGAAGATTGTGTACTATTGCAAAATTGTACATTGGTGACCTCTTGAAGCTTCTTGCACAATGAATCTACTTTAGAAAATCTTCTAAACCATATCAGAGCAGACATGCACCGCTAAAGAATCACTTTGTTGACTGTATTCGGAAAACTGGAGTTTGCAGCTGCAGGTTGAATTGTGTATATAGTAGTATTGTACCTTGGAGAGATCATCTCAATGCTCAAACGATCCATGCCTCAAGCCTCCTACCAGATTATAAGCAGAGATTGCCCTTAATATCCTTTATGTTCGAAGACATGATTTGCTGAGGAAGAATGTGTACTATTGCAAAATTGTACATTGGTGACCTCTTGAAGCTTCTTGCACAATGAATCTACTTTAGAAAATCTTCTAAACCATATCAGAGCAGACATGCACCTCTAAAGAATCACTTTGTTGACTGTATTCGGAAAACTGGAGTTTGCAGCTGCAGGTTGAATTGTGTATATAGTAGTATTGTACCTTGGAGAGATCATCTCAATGCTCAAACGATCCATGCCTCAAGCCTCCTACCATATTATAAGCAGAGATTGCCCTCTTACTTTGCCATGCCCATATACGGTAGCAAACAGAAAGACCAAAGACCATGAAACATGCACAGAGGCACCATGTCACAGTATACATAAGAGGAAGAGTAGGTTTTGGTTCAGATCAGTTGTAGTAGGGTGACCCTAGTACATTTCTCAGATCAAAGTCACCGTGTCACTGTACAAGTAAGAGAAGGAGTTGCTTTTGGTTCAGATCAGTTGAAGAAGTAGGGTGACTCTAATACATCTTTGAGATCAAAATCTTCCCGTTCGGGCAAGGGGGGGAAAAGATAATGTGGGGAAAGCCTTCTGAAAGCTCTCCAACAACCGTTACACAAAGGTACAACAATTCAGATCAACTGTGGCTAAGTATATGACACTATATTTCAACATTTAAAGCAACTTAGTTCTGCAGAGTAGTAAAACACTTGTTACTTCAGAAACACAATCTAAATGGGGTTTATTGATTGCTTTGGAGTCGGAATATACACTAAACCATCCATTATACTAACGTGTAGTGTCAATTGGATTTCCAATTCCCATGTCCAAGGACAATATTCATATTTCTTAATATTATAAAGCAATAGAGAGTATTGTAGCCGATTAAAATTTTAGTAGTAAAAAATGTGAGACTTTAGGCGACCAAATGTTTAGTAGCCAAAAGAAGAACTTTTTGCCGACTAAAATTTTAGTAGCTAAAAATGTAGAACTTTAGGCGACTAAAAGTTTGGTCGCCGAAAATGGTCTTATTTAATTTAATGTCCAACCTTTTGATGACTAAAAGTTTAGTCGAAAATTGTATACATTTGGCGACTAAAATTTATTTTAGTCGCTAATTACCTTTACCGACAATTCTTTGACGACGACTATTGCGATCAAATAATTTAGTTGCTAAAACCCTTCGGCGACTAAAAATTAACTTTTGGTGACTAAAAATTTAGTCGCCAAAAGTGAAAATTCTTGTAGTGTATCATTCGTTAGTAAAAGTTATGACATTTTGTTAATCTTATTATGATTGTGGAGAAAAAAGTTGTGGTTATGATTCATTAGCAAAAGTTATGATTTGTACTACCAAAAGTTATGATTTGTCATGGTGAATCATAGTAAAAAATGTTACGATTCAAATGTTATGATAATTGATTAGAAATAACTATATTTGTTATGAGTTGTCATTATATTGTTATGATTCATATTGTCTTTGTTATGACACTTTGGTGAATATTATGACATTGTTATGATTAATTCTAGTATTGTTATGATATTTGAAAAAAAGTTATGATTCTTTCTGTAACCTGTTACATGACCGGTTTAGCAGGTCATTTTTTATGATGTGGCACGGTATGGACCATACAATAAGTGCATATCATATGCCCTTTTATAAGGTGCACATTGTAGATTTTCCCAAAAATAATAAATAAATAAATAAAAGAAATTGCCTTTTTCTTTTTATATTTGGGAACTTAGGCCTCGTTTGGGAATCCTCTTTTTTAGTTAAAAAGTCAAAAAGTTACTAAATTAGCCAAAAAGTCAATAACCCATACCAAAAAGTTAAAGATTCTCTTTTCTCTCTATTTTTTGCACATCTTTTCGTAAAAAACCAAAAAGTCATCCCAAACATATTAGTTTTTTTTAGCTCATATTTTAACAAAATAGTCAAAAAATTACTAAATTAGCCTGTTCCCAAACAAGACCTTAAAAAAGAAAAGAATAATTATGTACATTAGAAGAGAAGAGTAAGTAAGAGAAGAGAAAATATTATTATTTCTCTATGTCTTATTTGAATAAATTAAAAAAAAAATTATAATTTCTCTCCAAATTTCTTCTAAATCAAAGACGAGTGAGTAGTCTAAAAAACGACATTAAAATCAGGAGAAAAAAAATAGGCAGCTTCGTTGTTCCATCTTCTATTTGAATTCATACAAATAGCCGTGATGATCAATCAGTGGGCGTTTGTGGACTTCTAAAAACAAGCTAATTTTTTATTACAAACAAATAGGAAAATTATAAGGTGCACACTCTTAAAAAATTACATCATGTGTATTTTTAATTATATCGTTTTGTTTTTAGTTATAATTGATAAGTTCTTTGAATATGTCTCATATTGTATTTAGGCCAAGTTTGGAAAGACTAAATAAGTGCACTTTTTGTCTTTTTGAACTAAAAAATTGAGATTGAAAATATGGATGTTTGGGTTAACTTTTTGACTTTTTATGGAAAAATGTGTAATAAAAAATTGTAAAAATTGGTTTGTAGAGGAAAATTTGAAAAGTTTGTGTGTAAAGAAGACTCACTCTGGCAGCAGCTTCGGGGAAGAGAGAGAAACCCCTCTCTCTCTCTCTCTCTCTATATATATATATATATATTTTGTGTAAAATTCTGTTTAGATAGGGTCCCTCAATTCATCAATCACCACAATTTTAAGAGTGTAAAAAATACTCAGTAAATCGAAGAATCAAACAAACTTTTTTTTAGGTTTGGATTAGTTCAGTTTTAAAGTACATTAGTTTAGTTCCAGATTTTCAATTTATTAACACAATAAGATTTGATTGGTTATTGGTTTATTGAACCATATTGAGATTCAAACCTATATATATATATATATATTGTGTAAAATTCTGTTTAGATAGGGTCCCTCAATTCATCAATCACCACAATTTTAAGAGTGTAAAAAATACTCAGTAAATCGAAGAATCAAACAAACTTTTTTTTAGGTTTGGATTAGTTCAGTTTTTAAGTACATTAGTTTAGTTCCAGATTTTCAATTTATTAACACAATAAGATTTGATTGGTTATTGGTTTATTGAACCATATTGAGATTCAAACCTATATATATATTATGTAAAATTTTATTTATATTCACACGTCTTCACCTAATTAGTCTATTATAATAAATTTGATTGCATTTAATATATAATCACATAAAAAAAATAATAAAAAATCTTACTAGATTTGGAATTGGTTGGGTTTAAGTTTGTATAGAACTTTATTATACTATTCACAATTGTTGACATGTATTAAATAATATTTTATTCTCTGTTTATGTTATGTTTAAATATTAAAGATTAATTTATTATTAACAGATTTACTTATTTTGTGTATAGTAAAACCGTAATCTCAATCTATCTGAATCAATCCGAGTTACATTGAGGTGCATTGAATTGATAAGGGTATAAAAATTGAGTCCAGATCCCCTCCTTGAGCCCCTCCTTCATTCCTTCCTTGTAGGGGCCTTCGGGTCCACTTTGAGGTCCAGTTTTGATAATCTGAATCGTTTATATTTTTAAATTTATTCAGTATATTATACCTGTAAAAAATCAAGTTGATCGGATATCAGAAAGTATGCGTTCAGCAAATTGGGACTACAAACTATTTTTTAATAAACAGTTTTCCGAACACATACTTTATGATATTTGATTTTTTATAGGTATAATATACTGAATAAATCTAAAAATATGAACGGTTCGAATTATTAAAATTGGGCTTCAAAGTGGGCCTGAAGGACCTGCAAGAAGGGAATGAAGGACCGAAATGTAGGGGAGGATCCCAATTCATAAAGATTTGATTCTGACTTCAAAAGTTGAAATCAATCGTGACTACTAATGTCAAATTTGGTACCGTCCGGAACCAAGCCGACCCTAAAAACCTACTCTTAACCAGCTTCCAGGCAATTACCAGTTTGACACCTACTTTTAACCAGCTTCCAAGTAATTGCCTTCTCTTAACCAGTTTGACAGCCTCCAAAACCCCAATCTTTGAAGCGACCAAAAACAATATAAATAAAAATAAAAATACCAATAATATAATGTGAACATGTTGGCTTCTAGACTTTGTAGTTACGTGCATACCAAGTTCCAAGCTGTACTTTCTCATGGATGGATTGAAATGCATGGTTGTAAAATGGATGAATCATGTTTTCCAACTTAGATTTGTTACAATCTCATTTTGGGATTTGTTTGACAAATAAACAAATCATGTTAGAAACTCAATCAAATTTACTTCTTATATAAATAAATAAGTTAAATTTAAATAAATTGTAAAATTTGTTACATTTTTAAATTAAAGTTAAGCAAATTATTACACTATTTGATAAATTTAAAAGAGTTATTTGAAATGATCTAAATAAGTATATTTTTTACTTTTTATGAAAAATATGAAGAAAAATAGAAAAATGATATAATTTAAATAAGTATTTTTTTTTGAATCTGTGTTTTTAATATATGTCATTGTCTACATTATTTTTTTATTAATATATTTAAACATAATACTAAGGGGTTGTTTGTAATGATCTAAATAAGTGCACTTTTTGACTTTTTATAAAATATGGGTTGGATTTGAAGTGATGTGGTAAAGAGGTGATGTGATTTAAATAAAATAATGTGACTTAAATAGGATAGTAATTTTTTGACTTTTTGACTTTTTGTGTTATGGAGTTGTTTAGAGTGTGCACTTTTTGTCTTTTTAGACTAAAAAGTTGAGAGAAAAAATATGGATATTTGGGTTAACTTTTTGACTTTTTATGAAAAAATGTGTATTAAAAAATTATATAAATTAGTGTGTAGGAAAAAATTAGGATTGAGAGTTGTGCAGTCGTACTTTTTGACTTTTGGTAAATAGTGATAACTTTTTAACTTTTTGAGTAATTTTTTGACTTTTTAACTTTTTCTCAACTTGTCAAACTTGGCCTTAGCCTAAATAATCACGTAAGTGATGATAAAAGACGGTTGAGAAATTTTGGGAAAAAAAAAGAGTTTAAATTCATTGGACATGTTTGGTTTATCTTTTAAAACATATTTTTTGAGAAAAAATTTCAAAAATACGTTTGGTTGAATTTTTTTTTATAAAAATTCTAAAATCAATTTTCTCTCTTTTATACATCATTCAATTATTTCTCTCTCTCTCTCTCTCTCTCTCTCTCCTCTCATTCTCAATCACTTTTTATCTCATAACCATCTATTCAACTATAAAAAAAATATCAAATCATCCCAAACTTTAAAACTCCAATACTATTTTCAAAATATACAACCAAACAAATTTTAAAATTTTTTAAACTCTCTAATAAATTATTCTTGAAATAATATCTCAAAGGGCTATCTCGGATTAGAGTGTGTTTTTGAGTTTGTGGGAACCCACCACTGGTTCTGTTTCAATAATCCGAATTGTTCAATGTGTAGAACTTGTTGAGTATTTCATCTTTGTAAAAAACATATATTAATCAGATATTAATAATCAGTTGATCAAATCATATTTCTGTCAACAATAAATATGATTTTCAAAATTAATTGTTGACAGAAATTTGATCCTATCAAGTAGTTATTGGTGTCCAATCAATATAATTTTTTTACGAAAATAAAATACTCTATGAGTTCTATAAATTGAATTATTCGAATTATTAAAACAGAATTTATGATAAACTCATAAATGTGAATAACACAATTTAATTTACTATGTAAACTAGAGATAACCAGAGTCCTATCTCATCACACAAAAGAAAGAAAGGCATTTTTTCTCAATGGCGTGCTATGACCCAATCGTTTCGATCCTTCTGAAGTCCTTCCTTTCATAACGGTCAACACATCTTATTTCATTAACTATTTCTCAACTGTCACTCTCAACCTTCCTAAGACACAAGCCTCTCTCTCTCTCTCTCTCTCTCTCTCTCTCTATCTCTATCTCTCTCGAAATATTGTCCATACATTTTCCATATTTTCTTATCTCCCAAACACCAAAAAAAAACCCAATATAAAAACTTCGCACTGCACACCATTTTAAGCACATCCCAAATATTAGGTTTAAATTTTCATTCCCATTATGTCTCGCACCAATTCAAAGCCAATGAAGATAGTTTTCATCAGCACACAACATGTAGAAACCGATGCCATGAGCTTCAAGTCCGTCGTCCAGAGGCTCACCGGAAAAGATTCCGTGGTGGTGGAGTCGGGTGGAGCTCAGCCTGGAGTGACGGAGATGGGTGGCGGTGGCAGTGGCGGCGGCCGTGGTGGTATGGGGTTGTCAAGGGGAGGAGTGTCATTTAAGGGGCTTGATGGGATATTGCTTATGGAGCTGCCTCCTTCGGATGAACTCTATTGGCTTTCTGGAGATTGAGAATATATATAATTTTGTTATATTCATTAATCATATTATTTGATTATTTGTATGTATAATTGTATACTAGTGATATTTTATAATTTTGTACTATACCAGTTAGGTATGTGTATATGTATATATGATAATTTTGTTCTATAGTTTATTCCTGTTTGAATAAAGAAACTCTCTCTCTCTCTCTCTCTCTCTCTGTGTAATTATCTCTATATGTTTGAGATCTTGGCCTGTTTGATTGTGTTTCTGAATTTGTTTTTGTTAGTGTAATTTTGGAGGAAAAAAAGAAGGAAAAGTTTGAAAACACCGATAGGGTTTTTGATTAGGAGAATGAGGGTAATTAAGTTAATTCATACGGTTAAATTTGTCATTATTATAAGAGACTAATATAATTTTCTCAATAGTTTAGGGAAAAAAAGTCTCTCATTATTTATGGATAAATTTTACTTTGCACTCCTAGGTTCCTAATTTTTTAATTGTTTCAGCTAACTCCCTAAACTTTGAATCAAATTACAATTGATCCACGCTATTTCAAAAATTAATGAAAAAAAATCATGTGATAGTATTAATTACATTTAGCACCTCTGTCTTTTTAACAAATTCTTATTTTAGCTCATCCACTTTAGTTCTTAGCACTTTTGTATTTTTATCAAAATTTCATTTTGGTCTTTCCATCAACTATTAGAACGATATTATAAAGGGCAAATTACAACGATAGGCACAACATTTTGTTATTACTCCTTCCGTCCCAAAATATTAGTCCCTTATTTCATTTTTCATTGTCCCAAAATACTAGTCCCTCTTCAAAAATCAAGTACAAAAATAATATAAATTTCCTATTTTTCCCTTCTTTTAAATTAATAAACAACATAAAAAGTACAATTATGCATTGATATTCCCAAAAAATGTACTATCAAAAGGATAATTTTGGAAAATCAACTTTTTTCAAATGCAATAATTGTACTACCAAAAAAAGTTGGATTCCCCAAAAGGGACCATTATTTTGGGACGGAGGGAGTAATGTGTTTCTGAATTTGTTTTTGTTAGTGTAATTTTGGAGGAAAAAAAGAAGGAAAAGTTTGAAAACACCGATAGGGTTTTTGATTAGGAGAATGAGGGTAATTAAGTTAATTCATACGGTTAAATTTGTCATTATTATAAGAGACTAATATAATTTTCTCAATAGTTTAGGGAAAAAAAGTCTCTCATTATTTATGGATAAATTTTACTTTGCACTCCTAGGTTCCTAATTTTTTAATTGTTTCAGCTAACTCCCTAAACTTTGAATCAAATTACAATTGATCCACACTATTTCAAAAATTAATGAAAAAAAATCATGTGATAGTATTAATTACATTTAGCACCTCTGTATTTTTAACAAATTCTTATTTTAGCTCATCCACTTTAGTTCTTAGCACTTTTGTATTTTTATCAAAATTTCATTTTAGGCTAAGTTTGGGAAGTCACAAATAAGCCAAAAAGTCAAAAAGTTACTCAAAAAGTTAAAAAGTTAACACTATTCACCAAAAGTCAACAATTACGGCTGCACAACTCCCAATTCAAATTTTCCTCTGCAAACCAATTTTTACAATTTTTTATTACACATTTTTCCATAAAAAGTCAAAAAGTTAACCCAAACATCCATATTTTCAATCTCAATTTTTTAGTCCAAAAAGACAAAAAGTGCACTTATTTAGTCTTCCCAAACTTGGCCTTAGTCTTTCCATCAACTATTAGAACGGTATTATAAAGGGCAAATTACAACGATAGGCACAACATTTTGTTATTACTCCCTCCGTTCCAAAATGTTAGTCCCTTATTCTATTTTTTATTGTCCCAAAATATTAGTCCCTCTTCAAAAATCAAGTACAAAAATAATGTAAATTTCCTATTTTGCCCTTCTTTTAAATTAATAAACAATATAAAAAGTATAATTATGACATTGATATTCTCAAAAAATATACTATCAAAAGGCTAATTTTGGAAAATCAACTTTTTTAAAGTGCAATAATTATAATATCAAAAAAAGTTAGATTTCTCAAAAGAGACCATTATTTTGAGACATATGGAGTATGTCATTTTGGTGATTATACTTTGAATTGACTCAATTTTGATTATTTTAGATTTTGTGTCAATTTATTCAGTTGATAACACTATTAGTGCCGTTTTGGGAACCCATACAAAAAGCAGCGTTTTTAGGTTGGGAAAAAAACACTGAAGTTTGCAAAAAAGCGGAAGACGCCATTTGGGAAGCTCCAAAAACGCAACTTGGCTATTTACCAAACTGCCCTCAGCTTAGGTAAATTTCTTCAATTGGCTGAGGGTATTTTGGTCATTTTGTAGTGATGTGACACTTTTAAAAAATATTAAATCAAAAAGTAAAAAAGTCAGCTTTTTACCAACTTCTCAAATCACTATCAAAAAAGCCAAAAAATTTAGTAAAAAGTCAAAAACTAACTTTTTACCAACTTCTCAAAACACCCCTTAGAACCATAGCCATCTTGTCTCCGAGCTTGCGTACGTGGCAAATCTTTGAATCGGTATTGTCATCCTAGTTTGGATAGGACCATGCCAAAGGTTTTGATAGAAAATAATCACTAAATTTATTAAGATTAACATATTGAGTCAAATAAGTTTATGGTTTTGCCACTAAAAATATAACATATGTCGTTTATCTGTGCGTTTTTTATAAAAAAAATATTAATAGTTATAATTAATTAGATTAAATTGAGACAAAATTATAAATTTGAGCATTTTCGCCCAAACTTTCAAAATTTGGAGTGTCAAATTTTTTTGAAGGTTTGGGTGGCAAATTGACATATTTCAATTTGACATAGAAACTCTCTACCCGATATGTCAAATTTATTATTCTATTATTTTTAAAAATAAAATTATTTTATTGGGTGAATTTCAAATTGATATCAACCTGGAGTATGTCAGATGTAACATGTTGAGTTTATGTCAAATGCCAACTCAGTATTTAGCATATTGGGTGGACTTCATTTTTCATATCAAAATTGAGTTGTTGATATGCCACATAAAATTTGAGACTTCGGCTAGAGTTGTTCATAGTGTCAAAATCAAGTCAATTAAAATTATAGAGATCAGAAAGACACAAAGACCAACGTTTAGAGATTATCAGTATAATTTGTCTTATATGAAATTGGAAACAATTGAAAATCTTAACTCAAAATTTAGAGAGTTGTGTAAGAACCTGAATTTTTAGACAACTAATTAGTTTATTAATAATAATATTAAGTCAATCAATAGTGATTATTAAACTATTAAATTATAATGTTAATAGCACCATAATTAATACCAATATTAAATTCTTTTAAATAAAATTATTTATCTTGCTGTGATTAAATTTCTGTATCAAAATACAGTTGTGAAAACTAAATGGATCAAATTAATAGTAAATAAAGTAGTTAGAGTTTAATAGGAAGAAAACCATCCAGTTAAAAAATAAATAAATAAATAAATAAAGAAGTTATATATATATATATAATAATAATAATAATAATAACAATAATAATAATAATAAATAAATAAGTAAATAAGAAAGTTATATATATATATATATACTAATATTGTATTGGCATCAATTTCAATTCAATTCAAAAAAAAAAAAAAAAGGGTCAAATTGCAAGAAAAGTGGCTGACCACTTCTATTTCCCTAGGCTGCGTGTTTTTGACCGGATGAGTGTTTCATTATGTTATAATTTCATATTCCTTCTTGCAAACATAGATATATGGCTTAGCTACTGTTTTTATGTGTTCAATATTCTCTATTTTTGAAATAATCTTACAAGAGAGTAAAATGAAATGAGAATGGCTTCCCATTACCTGAAACTTAGATTCTTCCTCACTGTTGCAGACTTCATCGGATGAAAAGAGGGCTCTACTAAATTGAAAATAATTGATGTTAAAAATCTGTGTATACTGGAAGTATATATAGGTGTTATATACTGTGTAAAATTTTTATAAAATCATTGGACACCATTTTCTTACCGAAACAAATATTTTTCCCAAGCGTCGCTTACAACACAACAAAAGCAGTGGCTTCAAACAGGTCCCATTTTCTCTACAAATGGTATTTTTTTACACGACCACTTGGAAAAGTTAGATTTTTAAGTTACCTTTCAAACACCGCTAGTTTCATAATTTTTTATTAAGTATTGAGAGAGAAACACCAATTTTTCCAAAACGTGACAGAATCTGTCCAGTTTTCTTATAAAAATTATTTGACCATCTTCGACTGGTTTTCAGTCTTCACACTCTTCTGAAAATATGTTCTAAACTCAAAAATTTAGCAAACCGTTCTGACCATGCCTCTTTTCGACACCGTTTGAGGACCCTTTTTATTTTTCGAACACAGAACACCTGTGCTGACGTTTTCATGGCCAGAATATATTTTTACTTCATTGCTGTTTGAAGGCAGCAGCAATGCTGACTTTACCAGGTCGCCGTTTATTCCACAGAATAAATTTTCAAGTAATTCAAATCGGAAAAGTTAGATTTTTAAGTTACCTTTCAAACGCCACTGGTTTCATAATTTTTTATTAAGTATTGAGAGAGAAACGCCAATTTTTCCAAAATGTGACAGAATCTATCCAGTTTTCTTAGAAAAATTATTTGACCATCTTCCGTTGATTTTCAGTCCTCGAATCCTTCTAGAAATATGTTTTAAACTCAAGTATCTAACAAGCAGTTCTAACCATACCTTCTTTTGACACCGTTGGAGGCCGCTTTTTATTTTTCCAACACAGATCACTTGTGATGGAAGTACTATAACTCACTGTCCCAGAAAAACCAGTTTTCTTCCAAAATTTAATTCTCCCTTTTAAAATCGTTTTTGGCTCTGGTATTCTTCTCGGGATATTTTCCTAACTCAATGAACTAGCACTAGTTAAAATATCGTAATGATTGAACATCGTTTGGTATGAGTTTCATATATTTTTTTTTACCATACAATGCTGAAGGAAGTAGTATGTGAATTCCTAAGAAATTTTGTGATAATTCCTAAGATATTTTATCATATTTTTTTTGGTTGTCAAACACGATTGTGTTGTGCTATATAAACATTATGTCACTGTAGTTTTCAAACTAAAACTCGTACATGCATCAAAGTGTGAATTGGACAAAGTAAAAGGACACAAAATCAAACAGATACATTAAGATTTA